CTGAAGATCATGTGACACTGAAGACTGGAGTAATGATGCTGAAAATACAGCTGCGCATCACAGAAATAAATTACAGCTTAACAGATATTCACACAGAACACAGCTGTTTTAAATTATAATAATATTTCACAATATTACTGTTATTGCTCTATTTTGGATCAAATAAAAGCAGGCTTGGTGAGCAGAAGAGACTTCTTTAAAAACATAAATAATCTTACTGTTCAAAAACTTTTGACTGGTAGTGTATATTTGTATGATATTAGGGGTAAAAAAAAATGGACATAGATGTCCTTTTAAGAGTCCTGCTCCAGTGACAAGCTGCTGTACCCCACAAGGTGCGATTATGGGCACTTTTCTTCTGTGTGGCCTGGATGAGTGTGAGATTTCCCGGCCCAGTCCGGCCCTGTATGACATGATATAGTTCGAGGACTTAGTACAGTAGGTGACCTACAAAACAGACACAACAGATGAATGTTGGAAAAATGTTGTCCATCTTTTTAACCCGATCTGCCTTCATCAACATAACTGTGGTTTCGTTTAGTGTAAAAATAGCTAATTATCAGCTACTTGTTTATAGCCACTATATCTCAGTAAACAGACATTCATCTCTCTTCCTCAGCTTTGGGCTTTCTTGTTAAACTGGTTTGCATATTTGTCATGGTGAAAATTCCCATTATCTTGCCATACAACTGGTTTCATCACCCCATGACCACTTGCTATGTGTTTGCCGTAACGATCTACCCTTTACAATCAACTTCGGTCATTAGAAACAGTTTATAAGAAATGAAAGCGTTGCCATGCTGCAGCTGTGTGAACCACGTTCGTGAGCCTAAAGTTCATAGAAAACATTGTGTGGTGGAAACTAAATGAATTTTTATTATTCTACGGTAATTTCTTGCTATTACTATTAATGTTCGTAAATATAACTGAGAACTGAACATTGGTGTCTTTTATTAACTTACAGCACCAGAGACTCTCATGCTTACAACTTTTCTTTACTGAAAATGTCACACTTTGTTGAATTGAACTGAATCGATGTTTACATTGATCTTTATTTGTACAGCGCTTTTTACATTTACACATGGTTTCATGGACAATGACCCGTCGTGAAAGCATGATGACTCTTTGTAGAACTGAACGTTTCTTTGTCTGTCAATCTCGATCTTTCAAAGGTCTCTGAGCAATGAAAAATAAATGATATGTAACTGGACTTTAATATTTCAGCTTCATATAAATGTGATGTCAGTCAAGGGGAAAACCTGTAGAAACTGGTTCTCTGCGATCAGAAGAAAAAGAAAGCAGACGGGGAAGTTTAAAATGAAAGGCGAATTTCTCACATATTTATTTCACAGCCCATAAATCTTACGTGACAGAAACGTTCTGAAATCAGGGAGAACTGGACCCGGAGAACTTTTGCCCAGCGTCTCATGTTAATCTCTTCAGCAGTGTTAATCTGAGTGCGGCTCAGCTCAATCCCTGTAGATGAGCATCTGTGCACCTGTCTACAGATCTCCTGACTCACCTGTCCTGATGGCCTACATTCAGACCACATAACTCGCTAGATCAAACCCTAATAAAGATTTCAAATAACCTTCACGTTTCAATGCTGTGTTGGCTTTTTGCAGACAGAAAAGGCTTCGACAGATTAGCGTCACCGTTTCTAAAAGAGCTTTATAACACCATTTGATTGCTTTCTTGAGTTCTCCTACTATGTTCTTCTGTGTTTTCACAGGACGATCCCAGCGTCTATGCGAGCAGACGGCAGCGGCACAGACTGCTGATCTGAACACACACAGCGGGAAGATTACAGATTAGCTGGATTAAGGCCTTTTCTCTCTCCTGAGACCTCCAACATGGATATACACGGAAACATTTCCAATAAATATAAACACCATGACGCTTAAAAGAGCTTAGAAATTTAGAAAAACACCTGCCTGTGTATATGTGTCCCTGTGTCTCAAACTGTCTACTTAATCTGTCATTTAAACTTCTATTTGTAGCACGATCTTCCTTTTGGTTTTGATATGTAACAAAGGATCTGAGAGGCATTGAAAAGTAACATTTTCTTTTTTCATCCTTATTTAACAGGAGCCTGTTACTGTAACTTACTACTTGTTAGAAATATATAATCATGAATAATTAAAATATAATTTAACAGTTGTCTTTTAATATGTCTTATATAAACACTATTTTGTGAATTTGTGGTCATAACAGTGATTCTGCATTCATTTCTGCATGCATTGATTTTAAAATGTGATCTGATACTAAAAATCATGTTTCAAACAGAGTTTGATCTGCCCTGTCATGAAATAAAAACACAGTGTACTATCTGAGATTCCAGAGGACCTCAGAGATGAGTTATTAAAGGAGAAGCTGAACATGAAAACTCTGTCATTATTTATCTCGCTTGCACTTGTTTTTGTTTTTCTTCTGTACAACACAAAAGGAGACTCTGAAGAGTCTTCACATACAGTAAAGCTTTTCCTCATAGTGACCACAAGTTTCAAGCGCCAAAAATATACCACCATAAAAGCACCATACCCTAATCACACAGCACATGTCCACTGATCTCCATTGTACTGCTCATCTCAAATATGAGTAAAAACGAAAGCCTCCGAGCTCCGCTGAAGAGCTGGAACTAATGCTTAGAGAAAGCTTGTGCTTAGTGCTGCTGTTGCAAACTGTGCAGCTTTGAGCTACTGATCAGCGCCTTTACAAACAATCCCCACTGAAACCACAGTCCGGTTTCTGTCAAATGTAGTCTGGAAGACACTAGAAACTAGACAGCGCCTCCTGGAGGACAGCAGTGAGAAACACTACTACAAGTACACATCTCTTCACATCTGATGTGTTTAAGAGAAGAATGCAGTGGTGTTTGTTGTGCTGTTGAGAAGAGAGGACACTGCACACAACACATCTCTTCTGAACAGCAGCATGGCCGGCTCCTGCATGTTCATAGACAGTATACCGCTGATGGGGTGTTTCAGACATAGTTTTGCCTTGAGTACTTTGCTGTGAGTACACTGGGGCCTGAACCGGAAGTGTGTGATGTGAAATCTACTAACATTTTCACCTTAGCTGTAAATGGGCATATTATGTTTTTTTATTTTTTATGGCTACATTTATTTCACCATCCACACGAACAAGTTAAAACATTCATGCTGCAGTATAAACAGGTGTGACATCATGATTGTGTGATTGATGGATGGATGGAGCTTCAAAACCTCGACCCAGCCACTGCCATCATACTGCTTGGAAGAGCCAGGGCATTTTTAAATACAGCACAGGTTGTATTTCTTCACATATAAACGGATTAGGTTGTGTGTCATTTTGCAGGACACGTGTGAAAATGTTTTTGAGTACACTTCTTAAAGCCACACAAGAGAATCAAAGAATCGTGTAAAACATTTTTTTTTATAATTCATTACACATTTTCTTTTAATGTTTGTATTAAACACGGACCATTACTTTATGCATCATTTCTGCTATTGCAGGCTCATTTAGTAAATGTTAGCATTTTAAATTTTAGACAAATGCAAACTTGGTGCTTAATGGAAAATTTGTCACATTTACAAAATCAGGTGATTGTGTTCACCCATCAGACCAAAGAATCAGGCGAACCACAGTCTGTCAGCAGCTAGTGCAGTGATTGTGTGCATCTGTGACCGCAGAAAATCTTCAGCTTTTGGTTTTATTGTTCATCAAAAAAAAAAAACTTTAAATGAATTCCAATTTTAACATTTAAATTTTAGATAAACTTTCTAATTTGAATAAACTTTATATACAACAAAATAAACTTTACATGAAATAAATAAAAAAAAAGTAGTTGTTGATTTTTTTTTTTTAGTTTTTTATTTCCTATAGGGAAAACAATGATGAAAGTTTATAAGCAATTGCACACATCTATATATACATATCCAGTGTTGGGGTGTAACTAGTTACATGTAACAGAGTTACGTAATTTAATTACAAAATAAATCTAACTGTAATCAGTTACAGTTACTGAGAATGTTAAAGATCACAAAGAATATTTTCGCACACATACACACACACACACACACTCACACACACACACACACACATCCACATACAGATTTAATTGACTTCTTTCCCAAATTGCATTGACTGCTCTAAAATACGAGACACCAATGTTTCAAGAGTTTAGGACACGTTTATACGATAACTGTTTTATTTCTTATTCGGGTTTATATATATATGCCTTTTTTTTACAGATTAACTGTTAGATGCCCGTGTTTCCCGTCATAGCTATGCAAAGATTTGATTTAAAAAACAGTATCATAGCTATTAAACTGTTTCTTGTTATCATATTAAATCTGTATTTAACCTCAGAACAATCTGAAAGTAAAAAGAGGCGTTTTTGTGGTGGATGTGCTTTAATAATAAATTATAATCTTAACTCAAATGAAGGATTCTGAAAGTCTGACAGAAATCAGTGTTGAGTGCCACTGTAAGGTTAACCCTGCTGCTTTACATGTTTCTAAATGATTAACATTTGAAAACATTTGTTAGAAATGCAGAAAAGTAATCAAAAGTAATCAGTTACATTACTACACTGCATGCAGCGTAGGTCCAGATAGATTTCAGCAGAATACCTGCACTGGATGGCCAAGTTCACGTGCATTTTGTGCATTTTCAAAATACTGTACTTGTATTAAAATACATTTTTCCCACACAGTATTTTGTATTTTTATTTTAAATACATTTTCATGTATCTCTGACATTACTGAGCAGGACAGCACAGAAGATGTTACGTGGTACCTGCTCACTGGTACTGGTACTGAACTAATGTTCATGCGCATACTTATCTGTGCGATTGTCAACTAAAGATTGTAACTATCACTAGAGGATTCGTGAGGATGTTTGATAGCGTTACAGTGCTGCCTCCGGCCGCCAGAGCGCGCTGCGACTTCCGCTGTCAGAGCCGCACAGCAACATCCGGGTCACGGCCATCTCGGTCAGCGTCGCTCCAGAAGGTGCTCAGCATCAGAACAGCGGCTGCCAGCTGATCAATCCTCCGGAGCGGCGGAGGCGTCGGGCGCAGCGATGAGCAGCAGCAGCCACCCCCTGCGGCCGCGGAGCTCCGTGTCGGAGATCGATCACGTGCAGCTGCTGGCGGAGCAGCTCGGCTCGCTGCTGGCGGGACTGCAGTACAGTGACGTCACCTTCCTGGTGGAGCACAAGCGCTTTCCCGCGCATCGCGTCATTCTGGCGGCAAGATGCCAGTACTTCAGGTAACGGTTAACGGTTAACGGTCAACTGTCAGGCGATGGTTTGTGCGAATAACGGCCTTAAATGATGAAGAAGGACTGGAGCCGGGCTGTTGCCATACCCGAACAGCCAGGTGTGCCGTGAAAAATTATTATTTCATATCTAAAACTTCATATCTCTATTATAATTCGTTATTATTATTTTAAATCGGAGGGTTTTACAAATACTTAAAGGGGTCCTATTATGCTCTTTTACAAAGTCTTGATTTTGTTTGGGGGCTGTACTAGAACATCCTCTCATGCTTGGTGGTTCGAAAAACGCATTATTTTTCACATAATTTACATTATTACAACTAATGCCCAAACATACACACTGCACACTGACTAAAATTAAAAAAGTGAAAAAGCATAATAGGACCCCTTTAATAAATTATAAGTATTACAAAGAGCTTGGCAGTAAAACTTTGTAACTGTGCGTTCACACCGCCGCCGTCGAGAGCGTCAGAAATCGCTCTGGCCGCGCTGCCAACAACGCTGTGGAAAGATTCATGGACGCTGTGACGCTCTGACGTAGATCGAATGCTTACCTTGTATTTAAAGGGGTCGCAAAGCAAACACGCGAGTTGATCTTGTGCAGACTGACCACAAGCAGGGTAACGTTATAAGTTAACCTCATTAAATATTGTTGTGGACGAAGCATTAAGATCCTTTACCTCATAATGTATAAAGCACTAATACCACACTGTAAAAATACTCTGATACAAGTAAAAGTCCTGCATTGAAAATGTTACTTAAGTAAGTATAATCAGGTATAAACATGTAAGGATAATCAGGAAAATTGATTTAAAGGTTTAAAAGTGAACTGGGACTATTATAGGCTACTATTATTTATTATATCATTAGATTATTATTCCTATAACGTTAATGCACATCAGCAACTCACCAGGAACACCAACAATCTCAGACACCTCGGTCCACGTATCATTTTGTTTTATTTATGTCCCTTTACGCAAACAGGGACACGTCGTAGATTATTGGAAAACCCGCCACAGCAATAATCAACCTCTGCTCTATTTTGCTTGGGAACTAATGCGGTCGGAACCAAAGTTTACAGGACTGCGTTCTCTGGAATCCTCTCAAGCGGTGGACTTCTATGTTCCGATTGGTTGCCGCCGAACTGCATCATAGCTCATTACCATAAAGTTGACCTGATTTCAACTCTCCTCAACGCCCTCAACGTCCAAGACACGCCACGCCGCTGCTCGACGCCGGCTCACATTGAAAATAAATGACTTCTGGCCACTTTGATGCTCTCGACGGCGGCAGTGTGAACGCACGGTAACGCCAAAGGCTTGCTGTATGAATGCAATAGTAAGCATTTTCAAAAACTGGGTCCAATGATTGGGAATAAAGGCTGTGACACACCAAGCCGATAGGTAGCATGTTTCGCCGGTACACCGTCTTCATTTGCTTGCTCGTTTTCATCACTTTCGCCTTAATTCTTGTTCGCTAAATGAGCATCCAATCAGAGTTCTGACTCGTGCCGATGGCCCCACGCAGAGTCAACATGTCGAATCAGGCAAACTTCCACCGACGACAGCCGATGTCAGAAACACACCCAACAAACTAGCCTGACCGCCGGCTTGTGTGACCTTAAAGAGCCATTTAAAAGTGTACGAGCAATGAAGGGATTGTTCACCCAAAAATAAGAGTGAGTAAATTGTTTTTTGTTGATTGATTTTTATTTTATTTATTTTATTTTTGAATTCTGAAGTTGTTCCAAACCTGTATGGAAATATATTTTGAAGAATGTTGGTAACCAAAAAGTTGACCGTAACCATTGATATCCATAGTATGGGAGAAAAAAATGCTATGAAAGTCAGTGGCTAGTGGCAGCTGTTTGGTTACTGTGTATGTTTCTGGCTGGTGACGGTGAGAGTCGTCAGTCTTGGCTTTGTGTGAGGAGCTGACACACAGTTTGTGGACCGCAGAGGCTGTTTTGTAAAATCAGCTATGAGTTTTCTCCCGATTTCTCCTCTTCAAGCGGGATGAGTGGATGTGATCTAGATGAAGAGCAGCAGGCGTTTGTCTTGACGTGATGTTCTCCTCAGGGCTCTTCTGTACGGAGGAATGAAGGAGTCGCAGCCGCAGGCCGAGGTGCATTTGGAGGACACCCGTGCCGAAGCCTTCGGGATGCTGCTGCAGTATCTGTACACGGGCCGGGCCAGTCTCAGCGCCGCACGTGAGGAGGTTCTGCTGGACTTCCTGGGCCTCGCCAACCGCTACGGCCTGCAGCTGCTGGAGGACTCCACGTCTGAGTTCCTGCGCACGGTGCTGAGCACACAGAACGTGTGTCTGGTGTTCGACGTGGCCAGCCTGTACTCCCTGAGCGCCCTCGCCGCCGCCTGCTGCTCCTACATGGACCGACACGCTCCGGACGTCCTGCTGTCAGACGGCTTCATGATGCTGTCGAAGGTAACGCACTCTACTCCTGGCACGAGTAAGGAAGGGATGATGTGCATCTAGACAGTTATTGCAGAATAAACCCAGTCAGGGTGATCAGGTACTGCACCCTCCTGAGTAGGGTTGGGTACCGAAACCCGGTACCAATATGGCACCGGTACCTATGTAACCAGTATGTACTAGAACCGAATCAGAACGCAGATTTCGGTGCCTCAATTCAGTGCCATGCCTGAGCGATCGATTGAAATATTTGTCCTCTGGTTCTCCGAAACGGACGTAAGCATCATCATCACTGGCACCGCACGTGAAAAGTAATTTCCCAACTGAGAAAATGCACGTGAACTCAAGTCGGAAAGCTCTAATAATACAGATCCAACACATCTTTGTAGTAACGAGAGTGTCCATGTTGTTTTCACATTCCGACTTAAAAGCAGAACTCGGGAAACGAGAGCATCGAGGAGCGCGTGAATGCAGTAATTACACTTGCTCTGATGGCAGCAGGTAGCCTTCCGTTAACTAAGCTAAACATGCTTAAATTAACATGCCTAAAGCTAAACCTCCCTTGTATTCACATTTCTAAACCTGTTGTCCAACAAAAGAGAACATTATAACCGTTTTACTCCACAACACCAGTCAGATGCTTCCTTCTGTGATCTGATGAGGCTTCTTGTCACAGAATGAGGCAGAAAATATGTTCCATAGGCTACTTTAAAAAGAATACATCGATTAGCAATGGATTATAAATATACTTAATTATTATGAAAATACCAGAGATGGCTTGAATAACACAGATAAACTATATTGTCGCAGTCGAGTGTTTATTGTCTTCGTTTTATCATTCAAAACGTTTATATGTTCTGTTTACTCCATTACAGTTATAATAGCGATATTATATAAGCGATATGTCCATATAAGGGATTTCCTGGAGGGTCTGAGTTCTCTGCTTCTGTAACTGGATATGTGCATTTTCTGTGCGAGGGCGCCCTCTGGTGTGCAGTATGAATGAAACTGACATCATGTGTTTATAGTGCTAATGGCCAATCCATAATTTTTTGGGGAATTTTTATTCATTTATTTATTTATTTTTTTAATAAGTATCGGTTTAGGCTCTGGAACCGTTTTAAAAGTATCGATTTGGCACCGGTATCGAAAAAACCCAAATGATACCCAACCCTACTCCTGAAGGGGTTTGATGTGCGATTAACAAGCAGCTGAATGTACATTATCCCGCTTATTACATAGGTACTTCCCACGCAAGTAAATTATAGGACGCACAGTATTGATTTGAGTTGAAATATTTAATTCGCTCATGGTATTAGCAAACCATCAAGGACGCGGACAGAGCTTCTAGTTTGTGGTACAGGTGTTCACTCTGGTGAAGGGTGTTCTCAGGCGCGATGTGAAGGGGATTGTGGTGAATCACTGTAGCGCATGATCTCATTACCTTCATAAAACGACAGCAACAGCAGTTCAACCAAACATTCGTTAAATTAATCACGGTGAACTGTAACCCAAAGATTAGTGTCGTTGTAGCGACTCCACCATTACACCAGTGTTCATCACTGATGTGTGTTTTACATCCACTGAGCTGTTTTAAAGGTGCTGATGTTCAGATTAGAGACGCTCTGATCCGCCTTTTCACCTCCGATACTGATCCGATACCTGGGGTTCAGTACCGATCCAATACCAGTGCAGTTTCTTTCCTTTTAAATCAGTGTAGAATTTCGGTGTCTCTGTAAAGAAAGAAAAATAAATATGAAAAAATATATATTTATATTCATAATCTATGACAAAAATATATTATAAACTAGGTTAGTGGATCATTCAGCAGCAAAAGTTATTGTAGAAAAGTCAGTGCACAATCATTTTATAAATCCAAACATTTAGTGAAAAACGTTATTTAGAGGGGAACAAATAAAAGTGTAGCACTAAATCTGGTAAAATCTTACACACCGCTCTTTGTATTGTTGCATTGATGAGAATCAGTATATTCATTTATTAATATATACTATACTATAAAATTAAAAGACATTTCCCTTAAATGTATAGCACATTTTTTTTAATGAGGCAAGAATAAATGACAGATAGGACAAAACATACGGAGTGTGTCCGGTGCGCAGAATGAGGCGACTGAAGCAACACGGAAGAGATACTGATGCGTACTGTATTATATCTGTGCAGTATTTTATTGAGCCCTTTCTCTTAACAGTTTTACAATTCCGTTACTGTGTGTGTTAAAAACAATTCATAGTGCTCTCTACTCCCGTGTTTTGTTCTAGCAGACACCTGGTAGCAAGTAACATGATTTAGAAACAACAATAAACTCCTGCAAGATAAAAGTCCCTTTTGTGCAAAATCATAGACATTCAGATCAAGTGTAATAATGGGAACGCTGTATGATTTTAGAGTTTCATCGTCTTGACTGTCGTAAGAAAATGCGACCAGGGTTTGAGTGCTGAATGGAGGACGAAACAGAGAAGTTACTGAACTTTAATGTAAGGACTTATATTCATCTCTACCTCACGTTAAGCTATCATATGGAATAAAGTGCATGAAAACTTTATGGTGCTTTATGCCTTTTGTGTGGCTTAACAGTAACGCAGAATAGTATGCACTATATCAGATTTGGATCGTTCCTGATATGAGTCTCGGCTCATTCCTAGTTCAGATACACAACTGCTTCAGCTCTGTTAAACTTTACAGACTTCAATAACAAGGTGCACAGGCGTGTCGAACAAACGGAGTGCAGTAATTCTGACTGAAATATACATCTTGTTAAAATACTTTGCATCCAAAAGTGGAAGCACTTCAAACCTGTTTTTTCCTCTTACAACAGCTCTGCAAACTTTAGCACAAAGACGGCGTGGCAGAGGGTTGCAGCAGTAACGACAGACATTATTTAAAGACAGAGCCCTAGTGTGTTCAGTAAACCACTGTTTAATAGAAAAGAAAAAACGAGCCATTTTATGCCCTACAGGCCAATCAATGCAGTGATGATCCACAGACCAGCAGCAGGACTGTGAGTGTGATTACTGCTTAAAGGAGTGGTTTTTAGCGGATTAAAAAGTTTAACACCTAGAAGAGCGAGCAACACAACTGAAATATCATTCAGATGATGCATATTAGTTTTATAAAAAAAAAAACATGGAGGCATATATATGACATTTTATTCCTAAAAACATGGTGAAAATGTGCTTGCAGTTTCTGTGACTATTCTAATGCAAACAGAAGCGTGAGCGGGATAATGGTGTGTTCTCCCGCAGGCGGCTCTGCTGATGGTCGTTCGGCGGGACTCTTTTGCGGCCAGCGAGCGGGAGATTTTCCAGGCTCTGGCCCGCTGGTGTCTGCAGAATGGCGATGGGACAGACACACAGGAAGTGATGTCAGCGGTGCGTCTGCCGCTCATGAAGCTGACCGAGATGCTGAACGTGGTGCGTCCGTCGGGTCTGGTTAGTCCCGATGATCTTCTGGATGCCATCAAGACGCGCTCGGAGAGCCGAGACATGGACCTGAACTACCGCGGCATGCTGGGTAAGTCATTGCTCTTCAGCAAACACACTCAGGCAGCCAGAGCCCTGTTCGTGGCTTTCAGTTCATATCTGTTCACACTGAGCTCAGCTGAATGCTAGGGCAGCTCTGAATGCTGAGGACTGAAGACAGGCATGCATTTCAAATCACTCTCTGTCTTCTCTGTCTCTCTATTACATGAAGCCAGTTTCAGCTGCTACTCTGGAAGGATTGAGTGTAGTTTGAGCAAACTCTGTTTTTCTGTTCATGATTTTACTGGTGTTTATCACCATGACCACTGACGCTGCACACATATTTACAACCAGATGTATTCTGGTTAAGAGATTGCAAACCAGAACTGGACCAGTCAGCTGAGAGTAAAGTAACATTTATGTGACACAATGAAGCCTGTCTCTCTCTCTCTCCAAATTAAAGCAGCCACAGCATTTTAGAGGCAAAATCACACCACTTTTGCTGCTAAATTATTTATTATATATGTGAATTATATATTTGATATATATATATATATATATATATATATATATATAAGTTTTTCAGTCTGGTTCTCAGGGGAGCACCTGGAGATTTGGTTTGGTTATTGCAATTTATTTAGTTTTTTTTAAATAATATAATAAATGTGATAATACTATTATATAGGGATGCTCCGATCGATCAGCCGGAGATCGGTATCGGCCGATAATCATATTTTATGACTCGATCGGTACTCACCAACTTGGCCGATCTCAGGAACCGATCACAATTTGATGACGTCAACGCGTGACGACGTACATGATGCGTGGGGACATAAATGATTTGGCGCCGCAGTCATCTTATCGCCGGGTACATGACGTGTGGGGACATAAATGATTTGGCGCTGCAGTCATGTCATCGCCGGTGTGGAAATGCTATGACGTTTCGAGAAACAATGAAAAATTAATTTGTCGTGTATGTTTGGCATGATGATATGATCAATGGATGGTTCATTTTTAACAGCAGATTCAGTGACGTTAGAGCTGATCTGCGCCTCACTGCACACGTCTGCGGCGCGTTACGGCTCCACGGCCACCGGAGCTGATCGCGGCCGCTCTTATGGGCTAATTTAAATGTTTGGGTGAACTAACCCTTTAATATAGCCCAATATTTTCAGCAACACTTTAGTTTAGTGTCCTTGTTACACATTACATGTGCTTACTATGGTAATAACAGTAAATTATGCATAATTACAAGCAGCTAACCTTTAACCAAACTCTAATCCTAACCTTAATCCTGTACTAAGTACATGTAGTTGATTAATATTACTCAGTACTTAATATTATAATTACACTAATAAGGACGCCTTAAAGTGCAAGCATATTTTCTTACAGCTGTGTTTTTGCTGACTTTAAATTCCTGATATCGACTTCCGGCTGAGCATGTGAGTGAGAAGACGCGCTTTATGTTAGCTCCCGAGCACTTTGTCATTCTATTATATCTTTCAGGCTGCCTGAAATGTTAAGCACACTTGGTGGTTTATTGTTCAAACTACTTATTCGACGATTGTAGCTTGGAAGGATTTATGGCTTCTGAAAGGCAACGTAAACTTAAATCGTCAGCGACAGTGACAGAGAGTCATGGCGACAAGCTGCCGTTGGATCTGGAAAATCTCCGTGTCACTCTGATCTCCGAGCTATCATCTACCATCGCAGAACAGGTGAAAGCAGCCATCGACTCTGCTCTTGCCCCGGTTGTTGCGTCCTTTGAGAGTTTTAAATCGAGCATCGAATCACAAGGACGGCACATTGACGAGCTTGATCAGCACTTGAACGATTACAGCGACCGCATTGTAGCACTGGAACAGACGGTGCTAAAGTTGACTTCGGCTAACAAGCAACTCACCGATAAAGTGGAGGACTTGGAGTCACGCTCTCGGCATTGCAATCTCCGGGTCATCGGCATCCCCGAGCGAGCAGAAGGGAGCGATCCGGTTACGTTCATGTCACAATTTTTCCAGGACGTGCTCGGGTCAGAAATCTTTCCCACTCCCCCGCTGCTGGATAGAGCGCACCGTATTGGTCCCGCGTCTTCGGCTGACCGGGAGAATCAAAGGCCTAGAGTGATGATCGTGCGGTTTCACTACTTCAGCGATAAAGAAAAGGCTGTCCGGCGTGGGAATTGGAACCAGCTCTTCTATCAGAGTCGTAAGGTCTTCATTTTTCCTGATTTCAACTCCAGCGTTGCTAAGAGGAGGGCGGCATTTTCAGCTGTGAGAAACAGCCTGCGTGAGAAGAATGTGAGATTCTCTTAAATTCCCCGCTCGCCTGCTGATAGACCTCGGAGATGAGAAGTTTCAATTCGACTGTCCCAAACAAGCACAGCGATGGTTTAACGAACGGTATTCAACTTCCTAGGTATTATGTAGAGATAAGTATGCAAAGGACACTATTTTATAAACAGTTGTACTCTGATAATTGATAACTGTTAACCAAGTGAGTTTAGATAAATGTTTTCATGTTGCCTGAAATGATTGTTCTTTGTTACTCCATATGTTCGGGAGTGACTTCATACGACATAGACGGGAATAGATACGGTTTTTGAGCATCGGAGGTTCCAGAGTTTTGGTGTTCTGCCTCCATTGTTTGGGAATGGAGAGAAGAAATTGAGTGATGTTCAGGGTGGGGTGGGGTGGAGGGAGGAATGGTGGGTTTTTCCCCAATTAATAATTATAATTTTGTTTTTTTTTTTGTTTGTTTTTCGTTTCCCCCTTTTTTTTCCTCCCTCTCTGCTTGTGGCCTCCTCTCTTGTATATTAACCTAACCTTATGGACAATACCAGAAGCTCAGTTAGATTCTTGAGTTGGAATGTGAAAGGACTGAATGGTCCCATTAAAAGATCCAAAGTTTTGGCACATTTGAAATTACAAAAACCCGATGTTGTATTCCTCCAGGAAACTCATCTGCGCCTTAAGGATCAATGCAGACTCCAAACTCGCTGGACATCACACATTTTTCACTCGAACTTTGATTCCAGGTCTAGAGGAGTTGCCATTTTGATTAATAAGACTGTGCACTTTTCTATTGACAATGTTATTTCTGATGTGAATGGACGATATGTAATTGTGAAAGGGAAAATTTCACAAACACCAATAGTTTTGGTAAATGTATATGCCCCAAACTTTGATAATGCTCTCTTTGCTCAGGATCTGTTGTCAAAGATCCCAGCTCTGAACACACATCTTTTGATATTTGGAGGAGATCTAAACTGTGTTATTGATCCTGATTTGGATAAATCAAGCACTGTTATGAAAGCTCCCTCTGCCATGTCAAAGATCTTTTCTGAGTTTATGGCTCAGAATGGTTATATTGACCCATGGAGACACTTTAATCCCACTGAGAGGAAATACTCATTCTACTCGTATGTCCATCAGTCTTTCTCTCGTATAGATTATTTTTTTATCAATAATTCTCTAATTCCTCAGGTTGTGAACTCTGAATATCTGCCCATCGTTATTTCAGATCATGCCCCTCTAAGTCTTGACATTCTTTTATTTTCATTTCACACTTCTCGACCACCCTGGCGGTTCAATTCTTTACTTCTATCTGATTTAGCATTCTGTGAATATATTTCTAATTCAATAGATGACTTTCTCCTTACTAATCAGACAGATTCAATCTCTTTCTCCTTACTTTGGGAAACTTTGAAAGCCTTTTTAAGAGGACAGATCATTTCTTACTCCGCTTATGTTAATAAAGAACGGAGGAATAGGATAAAAAAGTTATCTAACAGTATTCAAGCTTTAGATGACCAATATGCTCATAGCCCGACTCCTGAGCTACATAAACAAAGGCTTAATCTGCAGGCAGAATTCAATCTGTTATCCACAGGTGAGGCGGAGAGACTTTTGTTACACGCGCGTGGTAATTACTACGAACATGGGGATAAGGTCGGTCGCCTCCTGGCCCATCAGCTTCACAACCGAGCAGCTTCGCGATTTATTGCTCAAATTGCACCCGATGGAGCATTAACCTCAGATCCTGTGGAGATTAATTCAAATTTTAAAGACTTTTTCTCTTTTCTGTATAAAACTGAAGCTTCTGGCCATTCAGAAGAAATGAACCAATTTCTTGGGCGTATTAACTTCCATAGGGTTGATCCTCTTTTAGTGCCTGAACTTGATGGACCCATCACCTTAGAGGAGATCACTAAGTCAATTAATTCGTTGAAATCTAAGAAATCCCCTGGCCCAGACGGGTTGCCTTCCAAATTTTATAAGAAATTTCATGTCAAACTGGCCCCGCTTCTTTTGTCTGTATTTGAGGAAGCTTTAGATCTAGGCATGTTGCCCTCAACACTGAGACAAGCATCTATAACTCTATTGCCTAAAGATGGGAAGGACCCAACGTTATGTAACTCATACAGACCTATTAGCCTCCTCAATGTTGATGTTAAGATTTTAGCCAAGATTTTGGCCTCTCGTTTAGAGTCAGTACTTCCTAGTATTATCTCAGAGGAACAAACTGTATTCATTAAAGGACGGTATTCATTCTCTAACATTCGTACTCTTTTTAATATTTTATACTCAAAACAAAAGTGTTTCCCCTGAGGTGATCATTTCATTAGACGCCGAAAAGGCATTTGATAGGATAGAGTGGGGTTATCTGTTTAGAGTTCTGGAGGAGTTTGGTTTTGGGGAGGGATTGATATCATGGATACGTCTACTATATGCTGACCCACAAGCTTCAGTTTCTACTAAACAGTGTTAACTCTGAGTATTTTACCTTATCACGAGGTACACGCCAGGGATGCCCCCTATCCCCATTACTTTTTGCCATAGCTATTGAGCCCCTTTCAATAATGCTTAGAACACTTCCTGTATTTCAAGGTATAATCCGCAAGGGAATCGAACATAAATGAGCCCTATACGCTGACGACTTATTACTCTACGTTACCGATCCAATTGCATCTATTCCTGGGATAATACATCTATTAGATGATTTTGGGAAATTCTCTGGGTATAAACTAAATCTGCAGAAGAGTGAATGTTTACCCATAAATCAATCTGCCCAAAAATTAAAACAGAATGACATACCTTTCCACTTGGAGAGTTCTAAATTCAAGTATCTTGGTGTTAATGTTACCCTTTCTTATTCTGCCTTAAAAGCAGCAAATTTTACACCGTTAGTTTCATACATGAAGTCAGCTTTTTTAAGATGGGCGGCTCTTCCATTATCTCCACTAGGTAGGATAAACGCTGTAAAAATGAATATTCTCCCCAAATTTCTTTACCTCTTTCAAGCTATTCCTTTGTTTCTGCCCAAATCTTTCTTCAAGAATATAGATCAACTAATCTCCTCCTTTATATGGGCAGGTAAAACTCCTAGAGTTTCCAAAATTTTGCTTCAAAAAAGTCGACTAAGTGGAGGGCTTTCCCTGCCCAATTTTATGTATTATTATTGGGCAGCAAATATTCAGAAGCTGGTGTTCTGGGTACAGGCCTCCTCTTTACCATGGTGCTACTTAGAAGCTAAGTCTTGTATTTCAACATCTCTCCCTGCTATGGTGTTCTCTTCTCTCCCCATGTCCCCTTCACATTACACGGATAATCCAATAGTATGCTCTTCTCTTAAAATATTCTTTCAATTTCGACGTCATTTTAAATTTACCTCTGCATCAACCATGGCTCCAATACATAATAATCATCGCTTTCTTCCTCCCTTTTCAGATTCCGTATTCTCTTTCTGGGAAAAGAAAGGTCTGAAATGCTTTGAAGATCTTTTCATTAATAATGTGTTTGCAAGTTTTTCTGAATTATCGTCATCATTTAATTTGCCTTCCTCTCACCTATTTCGGTACTTTCAAATTAGGCACTGTGTCTCCTCTCTGCTCTCTGGGTTTCCCTCTCTGCCTACAAAGTCTCCATGGGAGGGCCATTCAGTCAATGCTGGTGTTTATACCGGCCGCGCCACAGCCCAGAACTCATCACATCGCGCGGCCGGTGTATGTTGTCTACACTGGATGCAGTAAACTAATGCCTCGTTCTATGTATGACGTGTTGACAGAAGTTCAAATGGTTTTCAACGGTCAGTCAGTAATGTAGCAGATTGAAAAGTTAGTATCTTTCTGCAGTCCAATAGACGGCAGTGCGGTGGTGGCT